TTCAACATTGTTTTAAATTGTAGTTGGTACAGTACAGTTTTCATTTTATTTAGATCACCGTTCATTCTAAAGCGGATGGCCAGGTTGTAAGTCTTTGCTGCAGTCCCTTTAAACAAACTTTCAAGATCTCAATTGTTTTTAACTGAAGTCATGATTTGTATTCGTTCACACAGTTCACACAAGGACGCAATAATTATAAACCAGTGATATCCATGGGCACGGTACAATTCACAATGTACCTGCATATAGCAACTAGAAATGGACTTGTATATAGCAACTAGAAATAGTAATGGTACGGGATTTTTCGTGAGGTTATTTGAAATAACACTTAATGACTTGGGGGATATGGGGCCATGTTTCTCTACACTGCGTGCAAAATTGAGCTGCTTTTTACAGTGTCTCAGCGATGGACAGAATACCAGGCTGGGACCTAGGACGATCACAGATGTCCCAGAACAGACAGAAGAGTGTATTGAGGAAGGATTGCTGAGACGAGTAAGCGATGGTCAACAGGCTCTCAATTGCCCAGTATTTGTCTAGCTCCAGTAATGTTTGTAAATGCTCTATACAAAGGATTATTTACCATTTAATTTTCCACTGAGTTCATTCCTTTGGAATTATTGTTGCAGGATGTATGGAAAGGATTTATGTTTGTCGCATGACTGGCCATTTCTTGTATGTTCGAGATATTCTGATTCGGGTCCTGCCTGTTAGATACATAGATTTCTGGATGCCATGATGTAAGTGGGATTCCCACACCCTGATAGGAGGTGATAGAAAAGAAAGCTGATCCATATTGTTGCAGGAATGAGCTATGAGAAAAGACTAAATTTGTGTGTCGTTTCAGCCTCAAAAATAATTTTGGAGGGGATGATATAGTGGCATATATGATGGTTAATGAGATAGGAAAATGATGCTTTCAGATCTGTTAAAGCAGAAGATCAAGAGGGTAGAGGTTTAGAATTGTGACTGGTAAATTTAGGACTGACTACACGGGTGATTCACAGAAAGGGTGGTATACTTTAGACTCATTCAAGAAACCAATTGATGTTGTAAGTGTTGGTGGGAGGGGAGATACAGTGTGTTCTGTGAAGCGCTTTGGGACGTCCTCCCGACGTGAAAAGCGCTATATCAAATGCAAGGATTATTATTATAATAGACTGGATACACAGGAATGATGAGATCAAATTGGTTGGTTGAAGGGCTTTCATCTTGAAGGGTTGTTTGTCCAATAATATTTGTCCCCTGAAAATTTGCAACGTGTTCTTTCTTGAACCAGCACTCTTTCGTGCATCAATGCTTCCCGATCCACTACAGACCAAGCAAGGTCAAAGTGAATAACATTTAAAAATATTGTGAGCTGCCAATGATGAAGAGGTTGAAGTGCAGGCAATCCTGATGAAAGGTGAATGGCGATTGGAGATTGTAGCATTTTATGACTCTCAACAGATGCTGTTTCTTCACAAATCTATCTTGGAAAATGAGGTGGCAATGGTTTGCATAAATCCTCCTGTGAGGTCAGAACAGAATGGTGATCTTGCCCCACCCTACCTCTATGAGCCCCCTCCCCCCCAACCCTGCTGCTGCTGCTGCTGCTCGATCAGCTCAGCAAATACTGGGCTGCTTCGTGTCCCACGCCTGACCTGCACCATCAGCGGAGGTTGAACTTTCACCTATTCTGCTCTCTGGAATTTCCTGAGTCTCTCCACTTTGTTCCTTTCCCACCTATAAAAGGCTATCTTTCAACTGCACTTTTAGTCACCTCTTGTTCCCCTCCCCTGTCCTCCCTCCCCCTCCCAGCACTCCCTGCCCCCAGCTCAGACTCCCAGTTGCTTTTGTGAAGGCACTAAACAAGTGTCATTTGTTGTTGTCGAAGCTCTTTGAAACATCCCTCTAACATGAAAGATACTACATAAATGTAAAGGTTTTTGTATGATTCAAAGTCCTTATTTTGGTCCATTGCCCTGTTAGAATCTGGACTTGCATTGCGGAAATGACCAGTGTGGACGAAGGCATGGTTAAATATTCCCTTCATTGTCATTTTCTTCCAATTTAGAGGCACAAGCCAGAAATAGGTTGTGGGAGAAATTGACATTTAGCAAATTTCTGCCTGTTGTATGGCTATTTACTAGTGTGGACTATTTGTTAATCAAAATTACTGTGCATTAGCCTTTTACTAAGAATTGATCAATTTTCACTCTTTATAATAGTAAAAATATGTATGCAAATTGTCCTTTGACACCAATTTCACAAACACAACATTGGACACCTTGAGTCCACATTTGTTGGAGAGCATTTCAAGATTTATGGTACTGATGAAATTTAAACTAAGTTATCAGGTTAGTCTGGCAGTATTACATTGGTTGTAGGAAAGGTTTAAAGGGTGTTATTTTGATCTAGATTTTGGAGATAAAACAATTTCAAGTTTGCACTTCCACCCATTTTCAAATTATTAATCTAGCTAGAAAATAAGAGGTCCAGGTACACATCCCTGAGGCATGCCATTAACTACATCCAGCCAATCATACAAACATTAATTTACTCCTACTCACTCATTGCTTTCTATTGATGCCACTAATTTACCTTTAATGTTGTGCCTTAATTTTCTCAAATTCAAGTTTCCTTATGAAGAACCATATCAAACACTATCTGAAAATCCGTATACACCTGCATTCTCCCTCTACACATTCAGATTTGCCTAGAAGGCATTTTAGGAAGAACTTATTTACACAGAATTCACGACCAGAAGCTGTGGTTGAAGCAGAAGGCATCAGCATCTGGAGGAAACTGGATGCATACATTAGGGAGAAGGGATTAGAAGGATATGGGAGAGGAGCTTACGTGGAGTATAAACACTGTGCAGAGGAATTGGACTGAATGGCCAAATTGCATGCTTTAACGTTCTATGCAATTTATTTCTATGCATGATATTTACTTCACAAATGTACACTGGTGCTCCTATTCAGTTATTTCTCCAAATTCTATCCAATATTGTGGTCTTCAGACATTTATCCGCAACACTGGAGCTGGGGCTAATAATTCTCTCTGCTTTGTCTCCACAAATGGCTTCACCTCCAGTACCCACACGGTCTCATGAGGTGTTCCTCAGGGCTCTGTCCTCAGTCCTCTCCTCTTCAACCTGTACATGCTCTCTCTTGGTGACATCATCCACAGACATGGGGTCATCTTCCACATGTATGCAGATGACACCCAACTCTATCTCTGTGCCCCCACCTTCGACCTCAGCACCACTGATGTCATGACAGACTGCCTGTCAAACATCCAAGTCCTGGATGAAAGCCAATTTTCTGCAGTTGAACGTCAGCCAGACCGAGGTCCTCTTGATTGGGAGAGCCTCAGGGACTGCTGATGCTGCCAGTGTCTCCACATCTCAGGCATTGGCAACACCAGCATTTCAGGATGCACACTCCACCTCACCAAGCCAGTCAGGAACCTAGGTGTCTTGTTGACTCTCAACTGTCCTTTCTCCCACACATTTGTGCCATGACCTGCTCTGCCTTCCCCCACTGCCGCAACGTTACCCGACTCCGCCACTGCCTCACTCCTTAGACCCAGAAACCCTCATGCGCATCTTCACTACAAGGTTTGACCATGCCAATGCCCCGCTCGAGTCCTAATCCCTGACTGTTTAACGCCTTGGGATGTCCTCCTGACGTGAAAAGCACTTCTCAAAAGTAATTTTGTATTGTAATTCTGTGACTTTTTTAATATTTTTAAAAAAAACAACATTGACTACGCTGTCCAATCCTTTCACACAACTTCTGTTTCTGAAGATTATGGCTAGTGCTTTGCTAACTTCTTCCTGACCATCAATATTCTGAAATAGTGAGCCTGGTGACCTTCCTAGTTTTAGTCCCATTTACTTTTTGATATGGCTCTTAAGCCTTAAAAGAAATGTTTCAGAGGGCACCTTACATGGAGTCCTGTAGCTCAGTGGTTCGAGCACACATCTTGCAAGTGAGAGGACTTGGGTTCGATTCCCGGGCAGCGCGAAAACATTGGGCAAGTTTCCTTACTCCACATATCTCTGTTTAGCAGTAAACAGCTAAATAAATAAGCCCTCCTACCTCTCTGCCTTCCCTCACCCCTACATCAATATGTAAGTTGCCCTCTGAAACATTTCTTTTCCTTCTATTCTGTGAAGCGCTTTAGGACGTCTAGAAGACATGAAAAGCGATATATCAAATGCAAGGATTATTTATTTTACACCACCCCTCCCCCATGCTCGGGCCCTGACACCCGCTGGGTGTTCAGCGCTTTGGGACGTCCTCCCGACGTAAAAGACGCTCTATAAATGTAATTTTGTTGTTGTTGTAAGTAGGAAACTGTTGATTTTTAGTCGATTAGCGGATCGCTTTTCTGGGGGTAATAATCCCTTAAAAAAAAATAATTTGGTCATTCAGTCCACGACTGTTTATGGACACTGCTGTGTGCAATTGCTGCTGTGTTTTGCCAACAAAATATATAGTCAATTCACTTTACAGTATATTCTGTGAAGCACTTTGAGACATCTCGAAAACATCATATCAAATGCAAGGATTATTATTATTTGAGTGCATGTGAGAGAGAGTGTATATGCAAGATCCAAAAATGGATGAATACTTTCAGATTTATCCAAAGTCAACAAGAGGGTTTAGGTTCACAGTTGCAGAGGGTAATTTCAGGACAAGTGCCAGGAACTTTTTTTAAAATTCAGTTAGTAATTAAAGACCGAAATGAGTTACAAGGAAGGTTATTTGAGACCACGATATTGGGTTCATTTAACAATAAAGTCACAGGAGTGGTAGACTTGTCATGTTGACATGAAAGGAAATCCTGCCTATTTTTAGAATTTTAAATCTGTGCAATGGTATTGATGATCATTTTTAGTATTTGTGAAAGATGCAGAACAAATTATTTGTTTTCTTAGCTTTCTGAGCAAAGGATGCCGACGAGTATTTGGAAATGACTAATTTGTTCATTTTCCTTCCTTTTAACAGTGCAGCCAGGATCACACAGTACGCAAAAAGAAGAAGCTTCCACCTGTGAAGAAGTCCTTTGTCTGTTACCTTGCAGGCCAACAGATTAAGCTTCAGAATGAGCAGAGCTACCAGCAGGCACTGCGTGCCTACGCAGCTCAGAGACTACCTGCCCTTTTAAAGGAGGAAGAGTTCCAATTGGGGACTCTGAACAAAGTATTTGCATCCCAGTGGCTGAACCATCGGCAAGTTGTGTGTGGGACAAAATGCAACACGGTGAGTAGAAGAGTTTCCCCTTTGCTTTACCTCCAGGATTGATAATAATCTGTAGAAATTATAGGAATTTCTCTTGTAGGAAATAATATTATGGGATATAGTTAGTTCGGGAATATGTGCATGCGGCCGTCAGGAAGGTGGAAGGCAAACTAGATGCACCTTGGTCTTCTTTTCGTCTAGCATTTCTTATGTTCTTATAAGTTAGTTTACATGTTGGCAGATTGACATTATAGAATCATTGACTCTTACAGCACAGAAGGAGGGCATTCGGCTCCTCGTTCCTGTGCCGGCTGGATGTTTGAAAGAGCTATCCAATTAGTCCTACTCCCCAGTTCCTTTCCCATAGTCTTGCAAATGTTTCCTTTTTAAGTAAATATCCAATTCCCTTTTGAAAGTTATTATTGAATCTGCTTCCACCACCCTTTCAGGCAATGCATTCCAGATTGCAACAACTCGCTGCTTTTATATAAAAAAACCTCATCTCCCCTTTGGTTCTATTGCCATGTAGATAGCAATTTGCAAGTCCTAGTTTGTCGTGTCTCTGATGATCCTTGCTCCTCAGGTTTCACTGAGGGAAACTATGCAATTTTGCAAATTTCAATATGCACAGATTGGCTTTCACTTTTTTCTAGATTCATACCGGAAGTAGCAAAAGCTAATAGTAAAATTGCCGATCCATTTGGCTATACTCTTGTGCGGTTAAAATCAACCACCAACGAGTCACTGAATGGAAAATGTTCATCCCTTTGGCTACTCCTGGGCTCCACATTATTCCTTGACCTGTTCAGTGATTTCATCTGCACTCTGTAAGACCTATAATTATTTGCTCCAAAGTATACACTGGATCGTCTATGCACTGGTTGTGGAAAGAACAGAGATTCTGTTCTGCGTGATCATTCAAGCTTGAGATCAGATCTTTTGTCTAGTTCGACTGCAATTTTCCTTCAAGCCCCACATCTAGCTGTCACTTGCCATTCTCTTAGCTGTACAACATTGCCTGCCTCTGCCACAACCTCTTTCTCTTCTCCTCCACCGAGATGTTCATCCACACCAACACTTGCCCGGAGTCCTGTAGCTCAGTGGTATAGCACCTACCTGGCAAGCGAAAGAACCTGGGTCGATTCCCAGGCAGGGCAAAATGATTGATTAATTGTACTGTTCTGTATGTGGCAGAGTATGGTCATCCTGGTCCAAAATCTCAGCCACCATATAGTAACAAAAACGCTTAAAAATGGCTACCTTGTGGATTGTCAGGTTGTGCACAGGAGATGCTGATAAGATCCTTTCCTGCACATGCACCTCGGGTGTATGAAGCCCAAATTGATGTCATTTCCTTCGCAAAGTACTGTTTGCTGTACTTCCTGCGCACGGGCACACAACACGCAGGAAGCGACATCGGCGGCAACATGATGAAATCAGCCTTTCGTTTAGCATTGGACGCTGGGTGCTCGGTGGCACCGGGTGGGTTCACAGGATACCAGCGCTTTAAAAGAAGCCATTCTATGGCAGGCAGGTTTATAATGGGTTACTCTGTAGTTAGATTTATAATAATAATAATCCTTGCATTTGATATAGCGCTTTTCACGTCGGAAGGACGTCCCAAAGCGCTTCACAGAACACACTGTAAAGTGAATTGACTGTAGATTGAAAATGACCAATTTATTATTGTTTTCGGTTTTGGAGGGATTATTATATTTAGATTTGATACTGATAAGGCTAACAATAATTATATGGAGATGCAGGGTGTTCTGGTGTTGAGAGGAGAGCATAATGGGAATGCAAACTGGGAAGCTATTTTGAATAGAAAAGAGAAGCATGTTAAGAGATGAGTGAAGAAAACATTCTGTTTAGAAAAGGTTAATTAAGGAACATACAGTAAGCAGAAGTGTAAAGTTATAATAATTATTGGATTTATTATAGTGCCTATAATGTCATTGTCTCAAAGCACTTCACAGTAATTACAGTAATTATTTGTAAGCTGAACTGACAGCCAATTTGTGCATAGCACTGCCTAACCAACGCTAATTTATTTGGAGTATTGCTGGCCAGCACACTGGGAACTTTCTTCCCTTTTCGAGTCGTGTCATGAGTTCCTTAACATCCAGATGAATTAGAGATGGTATTGCAATTTAAGGTTGAAGTATCTTATTCTAAACCGTTGCACAAAAGACAATGCAAAACTCTCACTGCACTGAAATATCAGCGTAAACTGAGTTTGAGCCCTGAAGTGGGTTTTCATCCCACAAATGGCTGACTTTTGAGGTGAGCCAAGCTGAGACCTGGTATTATCGTGAGGGGTAAAATAGGAGTGTAGAAAATGTGTAAGGCAGAAAACAATAGTGATCATGTGTAAAGATTCCCCCTGCTGCCCTTCCCATTGCTAACTCCCAATCAGCTGTGTGAAGCCCTTTGAGATGTCTTCTCAACATGAAAGGTGCTATATAAATGTTAACTGTAATTCCCCACAAAAGGTGGAAGTGCTCAGACTGCTGAGATTATCAAGTTATGATAAGATTAAATGCTGTGACCTGGGCCCTGCATTCAAATCTGAGGGTTGAGAATATTGTTTTTTATTTTTTTAAACTTTTTTTACATTACCTTGTTCTTTACCTGGTAGGTGCACATGTGGTGACTAGTCAAGACACATTGAAGGTAAAATAGAAGTGTTGAGTAGCAATCCTATTTTACCTTCAGTGTGTCTTGACGCATCACCACATGCGCACTTACCACCAAGCGTTGGAACTGTATTGAATCGCAGGAAATTAAGTTCTTCTGCGCATGCGTCGACGGATAAAGACTACATTTTCCACAATCCAATATAGCTGGCAGGTAAGTGCACATGCGTCGTCATATCCAGTGGTTCAATGCCGCTGGTAAACGCAGGAGTAGGGGGGAAAGGGGAGCAGCATTACGAGCTAGCAAGTAATTTAATATGAGTGGTGCAAAGAAATTTAAGTGGTTTTGTTAGGAAATTGAATGGGACTCGGATGAATGTACAACTTGGACGATTATACGATTTATAAAGGTAAGATGTGTACGAGTTTTACTGTATTTTTACACAACCAATGGTTCAAATGCTGTAGTTTTTTTTAAAGTATGCCTTTTAGTATGCCAGGTTACTTTTCAATTCATACTTTTATTGTTTCAGCTGTTGGTGGTAGATGTTATGACTGGCAAAATAACGAAAATTCCTATGCTGAAGGATCGAGAACAATCCAGTATTGACATCGACCGACACGGGTGTGGAATCCATGCCATTGAACTGAACCCTTCTCGTACCTTGTTGGCTACTGGTGGAGACAACCCAAACAGCATTGCAGTATATCGATTGCCCACTCTCGATCCCATTTGTGTGGGAGATGTAAGTTCTTGGGCTAAATATAATTCTACAAAGTAGGGGCTCATCCAGTTAAAATTGAAAAGTGGTGGGTGGTTAAAGACTCAATTGAGAGAATTAAATTAATAGTTTTAGAGATTAAGTCTAGAACAGCAAGCTGCATTTACATAGCACCCTTCATGCGGGACAGCGTATCAAAGAGCTTAAAGTCTAGTGGAATAACTTAATTGAATGTCTTAATAATATTTTGTTCAATTTTGATCAATTAGATTAGGATGTTTCCTTAACTGCTGCTAAACATTTTTAATGTTTTTCCAGGATGGACATGAAGACTGGATATTTTCTATTGCATGGGTCAGTGATACAATGGCTGTTTCTGGTGAGTTTTGAAGACTTTCTCGACACTGGTAAAAATGTATTTCCAAGTCATTTGCATGAACATGTTAAGCTTTTAAAATATATATATATTAAATATATATATTTGAGGTGTGAATGGACATGTTCTGCAGTCCAATGTAGAAAATGGACATGACAGTAGAAGATGAGATCAAAAATGATATAAATGCATTTAAGATAAAAAGGCAGAGATAATTGATAAACTAACTAAACTCAGAGAGGATAAAATCCCTGGTCCAGATGGATTGCATCTGCGTATATTAGAATCTAGGGAAGAAATGGCAGAGGCGCTATTACACATATATAATAATTCATTAGAGAACGGGAGGATAGCTAATGTTATACCTATATTTAAAAAGGGAGATAGAACAAGCTCAGGGAACTATAGATCTGTCAGCTTAATATCAGTGGTAGGAAAGATAATGAAATCCTTACTGAAAGAATTAATAAAAAAAAATCTAGAAACTGAAAATGTAATAAAACAATAGTCAGCACGGATATCAAAAAGGAAGGTCATGCCTGACCAATCTCATTGAATTCTTTGAAAAGGTAACAGAAAGAGTAGACAAGGGTAATGCAGTAGATGTAATATTTGGATCTCCAAAAGGTGTTTGATAATGTACCGAATAAGGTCACAATATGTGGAGTCCAAGGAAAAGTAGCAGAATGGATAGCAAGTTGGCTACAAGACAGAAAACAGTAGGGGTAAAGGATAGCTACTCAGAATGGCAGAGGGTGTGAAGTGGTGTTCCACAGGAATTGGTATTGGGACCATTGTTTTCACAGTTTACATTAATGATTTCAACTTGGGGATTGAAAGTACAGTTTCAAAATCTGCGGCTTGCTGAATGAGCATTTAATTGGTAAGTGTATTTCAGTATAGAAAAGTGTGAGGTGGTACATTTTGGTAGGACGAATAAGGAGCTGGAAAATGAAAACCTAAATGGGGTAGAGAAGCAAATACATAAATCACTAAAAGTAACAACTATAAGCAGTTATATTTTAAAAAAAAAAGCAAACCAGGTGTTGGGGTTCATTTCTAGGGGGATAGAAATGAAAAGCAGGGAAGTTATGGTAAACTTATATCGAACCTTGGTTAGACCACACTTGGAATACTGTGTGTAATTCTGGTCCCCATATTACAGAAAGGATGTAGAGGCACTGGAGAAGGTGCAAAGGAGATTTATAAGGATGATCCCAGAACTGAGAGGTTATACCTATCAGGAAAGGCTGAACATGCTTGGAATGTTTTCTCTTGAAAAGAGAAGAGTGAGGGATGATCTGAGAGAGGTCTTTAAAATTATGAAAAGTTTTGATAGGGTAGACATAGAGAAGATGTTTCCACTTGTGGGGGAGACCAAAATCAGGGCTATAAATATAAAATAGTTATCAATAGATCAAATAAGGAAGTCAGAGGAAACTTCTTTACACAGAGTGGTGTGAATGTGGAACTTGCTACCACAAGGAGTAGTTGAGGCGAATAGCATAGGTCTATTTAAGGGGAAGCTAGATAAGTACATGAGGGAGAAAGGAATAGAAGGTTATGCTTGAAGGATTAGTTGAGGAAGAGCAGGAGACGACTCATGTGGAGCATAAACACCAGCATAGACCAGTTGGGCCGAATGGTCTGATTCTGTGCGGTATATTCTAATTATAAAAGAAAACCCAACAAGAGGGCACAGGTGCAGCGTTGTAAAGGTCAATGCCAGGACACGCCCAAGAAAGTATTTCATAGAGGATAATTCGACTGGAATAGGTTCATTATCTTGGCATTCAGTTTAACCCTCAGCTCTTTCCTCCCTCACATTATGCCCCTTAACTGGAATTTTTTTTGTTTTGTTTTGTTTTTTTGCAGCTTCGCCACATTACCCACCCTCCTCTGTCTTATCTGATGCACAATGCAGCCAAAACACTCATCCACACCTTTATCATCCACACGCTCGACTTTTGAAATATCCTCCTCGTCAGATTCCCCAGCTCTACAACTTCAGCCACCTAAATTCATATCCACACAAAGCTTTTCATTTCCATTCCCCATCCTTGCTCTGCTGGCTTCCTGTTTCCCAGCAATTGGTCTTCAAGATTATCTTTATCTCTCCTGCAAATCCTTTCAAGCTCTTCTACCATTGTACTTCTCCAGACTCACTTTCGTACTTACCCCTTACGCTGGCCTGCTTCGGATTCTTTGCTCCCTCTGTCTCACAATCATCAATGAGTCCTCAGCCACTTTGCTTGTAACCTCTCTAAACCTCTTCAGCTCATCCCTTACTATCACTCGAAAGCCATCCTTAGAAAAAAAATGCTTCTTTGACTGTGCCTATGATCGCTTCTCTCCACACATCTGCTTCCCATCATTCCTACTCAGTGTCTGATTCTATTTCTATAAAATGCTCTAACATTACTCTATGTGAAGGGCACAAAATAAATCCCAAGTTGTTGAGTAGATACCATTATATTTATTTAAAAAAAACACTCAGCAACGTGTATGAAAAGAGAGGAATAGATGAGTGACAACAGGCTGATGGGGAGGAGAGTGTGAGATGTCTTGATATAATGCTATAATGTTTTGATCAAAAGAGAGATGAGGATAAATAGGAACCTTCAGCCTATTTGATTTCTTCTAGAATATTTGCCCTACCTCTTTCCCATTACAACAGCAAGCTGTTTCTCAAATGAGTTGACTGCCATTATCCTCATAGCCCAGTCTGGCAGTTGATTACCTACCCTCTATGCAAAGAAATACTTTCTGGGCGTGCAAAGAAATAGCGTGCAAAAATGAATTGGTGGTAAATAAGTGATGAGCTTAGTTCCATTCGGCATCTGTCTTCGTATACCGTGGAGTCCTGTAGCTCAGTGGTTAGAGCACTCGCTTTGCAAGTGAGAGACCTGAGTTCAATTCCAGGCAGGGTGAAACCTTGGGCAAGTTTCCTTACTCCACACGCCTAATAATAATCCCTCCAAAAAACCAAAAACAATAATTAAATTGGTCATTTTCAATCTACGACTGTTTGTGGGACATTGCTGTGCGCAATTGGCTGCCGCGTTCGCCCACAAATATACAGTCAATTCACTTTACAGTGTGTTCTGTGAAGCGCTTTGGGACGTCCTCCTGACGTGAAAAGCGCTATATCAAATGCAAGGATTATTATTATTATTGTTGTTCTTCAGGTTCCAGGGATGGTTCCATGGGGTTGTGGGAAGTGACAGAAAACATACTAAACCAGACAGATACAAGCATGGATCCTACAAGAGTCCCCAGTTATGCACACATAACGCACAAGGCTCTGAGAGATATTCCCAAGGAACACACCAACCCCTACAACTGCAAAGTGAGAGCTTTGGCTTTTAACAACAACAGCAAGGTTGGTGCTCATAATCTGCTTTTTAATTCTTTTGAAGAAGAAATAATTGCATTTTCTAGTAATCTATCCAGAGTTAGTCCTTTTTGTGTTTTATATCATTTCCATTGTTCATCCCCCAGGCCTCCAACACTGCTATAAAGAAAGTGAACTTGTATTTTTTTCGTACTTTCTCTTATCAGGCGATCCCCAGGTTTCCTTTCTACCCTACATCTGTTCCCTGACCAGGACAGTTTGTTTTCACCTCCATCACATTGCCTGCCTCTGTCCATACCATACACCCACAGCAGTCAAAGCTTCCATACCTTCGTCACTTCCTCGCTGGTTTCCCCAGTTCCACCACACATGAAATACAATTAATTCAAAACTTCGACGCCTGGATACTAACCCTCACCAAACTCCAGCCCTCAATCCCAATTACCAAACGGATTGATTTCAAGATCCTCTCACTCGTTTTCAAATTCCTTCATGCCCTCACACCTCCCTACCTATCCGATTTGCTTACCCTCCACTCCACCACCCGCTGCCTCTGCTCGGCTGACTCCGGCCTCCTGTTTGTCCCTTGTCCCCTCCGCTCCACCATCGGGGGCCATGCTTGCAGCCACTATGCCCCGAACCTCCGGAACTCTCTCCCTCAATCCCTCTGCCTAGCCCCCTCCCTTCGCACTTTCAGATCCCGCCTAAAGACCATTCTTTTTGATCGTGCTTATGATCACCTCCCCACTCCCTCTCCCCTGGCTCGAGGTCATACTCCACCATTGTCAAGCTCTCCGGGACGCTACCCCATGTGAAGAGTGCTACATAAATGCAAGTTGTTGAAATATCTCAAATTACTTTACAAGTAATTACAGTCAAGTGGAATGTCCTCCTGAAAGGCGCTTCACAAATGTAATTTGTTGTTTTTGTTCTGATTTAATATAATTTAAAAAAACGTGATCTTGCTCATTGCGAAGTATCAGCCTGGCTCATTTTTTAGCACTCTTGCCTCTGAGTTATTATGGGCTCAAGTCCCATGTTGGGACTTTGCTGACACCCCAATACAGGGCAAGCAGGTACATTAAACTGGCATCCCGTTTGCATATTCAGGTGCACTTAAAGATCCCCTGAGACTGTTTGAAAAGAGAAGGGAGTTTCTCTCAATGTCCTGGCCAACAATCCCCAACTAAAATGTCATTATCAAATGCAAGGATTATTATTATTATTCACTTTATGGCTATTTGTAGAACATTACTGTGTGCATATTGGCTTCCATGTTCACCTACAAAAATACCATCACAACACTTTATAGTGAATCTTGTGAAAAGCATTGATAAGTCCTGACGAGAAAGCCACTGTATCAAATGCATTTATTCATGTTGCATGATTTGCATTAATTGAGGTGGGAAAATATTTGGTCTAGTGTGATGCATAAAAAAAATTCACTAAGTTTAAAAATTGTCCAACTGAATCCAAGACTTATGTTGAATATCAACTATATTTTGTATAAACTATTGTGCTTCAGTTTGCCCTCAAATGTTTTTCTATTTACTGTTTGTAGGAACTTGGAGCAGTGTCTCTTGATGGTTACTTTCATTTATGGAAAGCTGAGGACAATTTGACAAAGGTGAAAAAGCTGTACAAGTAATTCAAATGTTACATTTTTAAAACATTGACATAATCTTTTGTATTGACTGCATTTTGCATAAGAGCATAATCCCATTTGTTACTTGTTGTGCGTATTGAAGGGTGAACCCTAAATAAAATGAGTGTTAAATTATTTTTCAAGTGACGCTCGATTTAGAGGGATAAACTTCACACACATTCAAATTGGGTTGGAAGGTTTTTGAATTTCTGGTTGGGTGTCAGTTAGTCATAGTTCAAAGGCATCACAGCGCAAGTCACATAATCAGATTTATCTGTCTACTTTTAACAACCTGTAAATGTACATTTTTCATCTTAGTAGAAATTAGTATGTAGAAGGCAAAAGATTAAAATAACTTTGTTTCCTCTCTCCAAAAATCAAGCAGTCAATCAAATACAATATTTTTTTTTCCCCCCCTCAAGTTACTCTCTACAAAATTGCCACATTGTCGAGAAAATGTCTGTCTGGCCTATGGGCAGGAATGGTCTGTATATGCTGTGGGTTCCCAAGCACACGTTTCCTTCCTTGATCCGCGGCAGCCTCAAAGTTACGTCAAGTCTGTCAGTTCCAGGGAACGAGGCAGTGGTAAGTTGGGTATCGATATAACAAGAAGTTTGATCAGTGGGTAAATGCACTGTGCGGTTTGGTACTAAACATATACAGCAGGAAGGACTGGTTTGGACAATAGTCTGTACTGAGGTATCTGATCTTGGGGGCGGAGGAGGGACAATAACAGTTGTCTTCATTATCACTTAGCTTGGAAAGGAGATGAAGGGAAACATCAGGTAGAATTCCCATGTCTGATCCACTGCAGACAGGATTGTAATTGGCTGTGATTATTCTGCAGATCATGGACTTGAAATTTAGAGGGATGTGATTTGGTCTTCACAAACCCAGGGTTCAGATAGATAGCTTGCTGTCATTCAGAGCCTGTGGCCACAAATGAATAATGGCTATTTGAATGAGAGGTTAAAGTATTGTTGGAACACATGGAAATTACCCCTGATATGATTCACCACCTTCAGGAGTGGGGAAACTGAAAATATACTACCAAGTACCTTGCGCAGAGTGTAACATTATGATAAAATCCCCACGTGTGAATGAGTAATAATGCATGGGAAAGAACTTGCAACTAAGTCTATGGGAGTTGATTGATCTTTGTCCCATCGTTGTTCGTCCGTTGATCTTTCTGACGACCAAGGAGTCATTAGATTGATAATGAGAAATCTCTTTGGGGTTGGTGCTTAATAAAAGCAATTACAGTTGCCACCTTCTCATTTCCATATACAATCTGTTTTTCTCAGTTTCCGTGTTATACTGTGAGTCACAGTATTTTGTTCTATTTCCAATTTTAAACCAAACCAATGCTCAAGTTGGGACTAATTCAAGATGGTCCATCTGGATCTAGTGACAAAGGAAACAAACACTCAACATGAAATTGCCGGGTGTGTGTGGAATATTGCCATCCAGCTGTCCAGCTAATCAGTAACAAGTGCTCCACTTTGGTTTGTAAATACTCCTTTTTAAAAAAAATTCATAGATGTTGCCTCATGCTTCTTAGGCACAGAACAAGAGTATGGACTATTAAGTAGCTTGGGTACGTCTCTCCATTCTATTCATACCTCTCAACTATATCAGCCCACTTTTTTTTCTTTCTCCAGAACTCCCTACAGGATTTGGAGATCTGCCTTTTTGAGGAAAACCATGTTCCTTATATACCACATTTTCCATTTAGTACATAAACCAACAAAGGAGCAGAAAATAATTTGCCAAAGCACATGTATCCTTAGCTTCTCTTGGATGTCTTTCTAAAAAAAAACTTAAATTATCAATGGAATATTTTTAAATTATTATTTGCCATCAATGTATAAATGTAGAAGTAATGCATAATCTACCATACATTTTGGAACCCTTTAGAATAAACTTGTTAAGAAATGGAAAACCCTTAAGAGTAAGAAATCCAGCTGCCTTTATTCAACTTATTGTACATTTTGTACATCGTAAGAATATGAGAATTACTAGACGAAAGAAGACCAAAGTCCATCCAGTTCGCCTTCCTCCATCCTGGCATTCACACATCATGTCTCATCAACGAGTTTATTTTCATGTTTTTTTTAAAAAAATGTTCCTTATATAGGCAGCAAAGCTTTGCAAGAAGAATCTTTTATATGGTTCCCTGAAAATAATTACTGTTTGCTGGTACCCTGCATGACAATCCTTATTTATCTTGATTGATTTGAACGATCAATTGACTGAACTGTGTGAAGGATGTCATAATTTGTGATTTGCTTTCTGGAGGAAAGTTTCTTTGAGCTGACTGTGTTCCATTTAGTTTACCCGGCTGGAAAGTGCTTTCCATATATGTGGCTTGAGCATGTTTTGTGCAGAGTTTAATTCTGTTATTTGTTTACAACTCACAACAAATCCACAAAGTATCTGAATTTCTTTGGCAGTATTTTTAGAATGGATCTGTTTGGTTATCTTATACCAACTGTTGTATTTTCTGACTTTCTGGGACTTCTGTTTCTCCTCTACAGTTTCCCAGCAGATCTCCAAAGCAGATCCACTTACCCCCTAAGCACTGAAATGCTGTTTTGAATCTGTGCTCTGACTTCACAGATGGGTTGTGACCCAGCTTTGCAATAACTATATTTCAAGAATATATGAAGAGGAGTAGCCCATTCATTCAGTCAAGGGCATTCTGATCCCTTCACAATCCACCCCTCTTGATTCCAAGCCCCAGCACAAGTGCAAACCCTTTACTTTTCAGCGCCATGGGACATCCTTCTGACGTGAAAGGCGCTATATAAATGAAATTTTGTTGTTGAGTTGTGTACACTCCACACAACTCCCATAAAAAGGGAGCAGAGTGTGTTTTGTCACTGAAATGTTATTGTACAATGATACGTGCCATAACAACTCAGTCATTGAGATGGTGGATGTTATGGCATGTACAATTACATTGTAAAATAAATGTGTTGTTTTACTGACTGCCGGTTCTACCACAAGATAAAATTTTAAATGGTTAAAAATTCCAGAACACAAATGTGCATCCTAGTTAGGTTTCAGAGCAGAATGTTCCAAGAACTCAATGTCCCTATAACAAGAGTATCTCATTTCTTTCTTGTGAACTGTTTCTTATATTTCCAAAGACTGGATGATTTGAATTATTATTGCAGCCAAGTGCATCGTGTATGATGGAAAATCTGGTAATATGCTTGGTTTGGAGTAGAACTTGGAATTGTTCTTCAGAACTATCCTGGATGACCAAAACAATTTTGGTTTAAACTTTGAAGATGACTTATGAAGTAATTATTACAATGCATTGGTGTCCTGACCTTATCTAGATATTTAATGTCTTCTAGCTGGAACATATAGTGATGAGGAGTGATATTGATAATTCTTGCTGAACTCCAGAACCTTTTAACTAGTTAACAGATCCTGTAAGAGTTCTCTCGTCCTTGTGACCTGGACCTTACTGGTGTTTGCACTATTGTGATTTCATAAAGCAATTGGAAAAAATGTCTTTTACACATGTTTTTAAGAAATTGGTGTTCAGATAAGCAAGGTCTCCTTAGGGCTGATGTGGCTCCAAGGTGGAAATGGAATATCAGAATCAAGCAGTGGCATTCTTGGTCAAGTCACTTCAAGATGCCATCTTGCGTGAAGGGTGCTATTTAAATGCAAATTATTCCTGCAGTCTGGTTCCTGAGCCAGTTGGATCCACAGTACTCTGGCTTATTGGTGGAACTTGGGCCAGGGATTTTCACACTCGGCTCCTGTCACTTCAAGGCTCGATTACGGGAACTCCCTCCTCATCGGCCTTCCCAACTCTTCACAGGCTGCAGATCATCCAAAACTCTGCAGCTCGTGTACGGTCACACACCAGGCTCCCTGACCCCATCACTCCCACACTCGCCTGACTCCACTGGCTCCCCATCCCTCAGAGGATCAAATTCAAGATCTGCGTCCTCACTTTCAAGGCCATCCATGGCCTTGCCCTCTCTGACATGCTGACTCAACAACAACAACAAGATTCCATTTATAAAGCGCCTTTCACGTCAGGAGGACGTCCCAAGGCGCTGCACAGTTGGGTCATGACCCGAGCAGGGGGGAAATGGTCAGGGTGAGGGGAGGGAAGGGAGGGAGCAAGGAGGGGGGAAATGGTCAGGGTGAGGGGAGCGAAGGGAGGGAGCGAGGAGGGGGAAGAGAGTCGAGAGGGGAGCTGAAGGCACGGTCAAAGAGAAAGGTTTTGAGACCGGCCTTGAAGGAGGAAAGGGAGGAAGCAAGGCGAAGGCACTGGGGGATGGAGTTCCAGAGCCTGGGGGCTGAGAGGCTGAAGGCCCGACCACCGATGGTAGGGCGGTTGGGGCGGGGGACGTGGAGCAGACCAGAGCCAGAGGAACGGAGGGTACGGGCAGGTAGGTAGGGGGATAGTAGGTTGGAGAGGTAGGAGGGAGCAAGGCCGTGAATGGCCTTGTAGGTGAGGATGAGGATCTTGAAATCAATCCTCTGGGGGATGGGGAGCCAGTGGAGGCGAGCGAGGGTGGGAGTGATGTGGTCCCGAAGCCTGGTGCGGGACAGTACACGAGCTGCAGAGTTCTGAATGACCTGCAGCTTGTGGAGGGAGGTGGCGGGAAGGCCGACGAGGAGAGAGTTCCCATAGTCCAGCCTTGAGGTGACAAAGGCGTGAACCAGGGTTTCAGCAGCGTGAGGGGTGAGGTAGTGCCGTAGTCTGGCGATATTCCGGAGGTGATGGAAGGCGGTGCCAGTTGTGGTGCGGATGTGAGGGAGAAAGGACAGCTCAGGGTCGAACAAAACGCCGAGGTTCCTGACTGGCTTTGAGAGGTGGAGAGTGCAGCCTTGGATGCTGATGGTGTCAGCGCCTGAGGTGCGGAGGCGCTGACGTGAGCCAATCAGGAGGGCCTCGGTTTTTCGCACGTTGAGCTGAAGAAAGTTGTCTCTCGTCCAGGACTCGATGTCGGACAGGCAGCTGTCAGGACATCGGTGGTCGTGGAGTTGAGAGTAGAGGAGGAAAGGTAGAGTTGGGTGTCATCCGCATACATGTGGAAGTTAACTCCATGTCTGCGGATGATGTCACCGAGGGGGAGCATATAGAGGGTGAAGAGGAGGGGACCAAGGACAGAGCCCTGAGGGACGCCACATGAGACAGTACGGGGGGTGGAGGAGAAGCCATTCGTCGAGACAAAGTGAAGACGGTGAGAAAGGTACGACCTAAACCATTCAAGGACAGTGCCTTGAAGGTTGACTCCCTGCCAACCTGCCCGCTCCCTCCATTCAGTGGGCTCCAGCCTGCTCCATCTCTCCCGCCTTTCCCGCACTACCATTGGTGGACGGGCTTTCAGCCTCTCTGCCCCCACACTCTGGAACTCCATCCCATGGTCCCTTCGCCTCGCTTTCTCCCGTACCTTCTTCAAGGCCAGTCTCAAGACCCTTCTCTTTTATTGTGCCTTTGGGCTCCCTCCCACCTCTCTGCCTTCCTCACCCCTACACCATCCATCCCCCATGCTCGGGCCCCGACACCTGACTGTTCAGCACTTTGGGACGTCCTCCTGACATGAAAGGTGCTCTATAATTGTGTTGTCAACCTGCGAGCCAGGGTGATCTAGTTAGACAAGCAGCAGGAAGCTTGTTGGAAAATGCTTACAATCGCAACAGTAAGTAATGCGGTTTTAGCCATTTAAACTCCAGCCGTACCCAAACGCACATTCTGGAAGTCTCCAAGTCTTGGCATTTGCCAACCTGTAACAAATACTTTCAGGGATTAGTTAAGCAGGTTGCATTCCTGTGGTGAGAGAGTGCACTTTCATCTAGATGGATTGAAATGTTCATGTCTAGGTGGCATGCATCTATGGAACTGTGCCTGGTTTGGACCTGCTTAAGCATGGTTTCTTCATGTGTCAGATACCCACAGTTGACCAAAACAAATTGGGTCAACTTGATCTCAAAAATGAAGCAACAATGTTAGTGACTACTGATTGCATGAAAACTAATCAACATGTGTTGGGGGGTGGAGGGGAGGAGAGTTGGCAATCCGATTGTTTAAACATTAAAGTTAAAATCAGATTAAGACTGCTCTAATTCCTATTGAATATATGAAAGCAAAATTATATTCTGCCATCAAATGTTGAATCAAGTTAATAGTGTTAAAACGAATCCTTTTCTTTTCACTAGGTATTCGATCTGTAAGCTTCTATGAACACATCATAACAGTAGGAACAGGACAAGGCTCCCTTCTCTTCTATGATATCAGAGCTCAGAAGTTTATGGACAGGTCGTGTCAATCTAACCACTGCAGTGAAAAACTGAAGCTCAAGTCTGGCGAAGAAATTTTAAAATTAACAACAGGGAAGGGTTGGTTGGTAAGTTACTGACAGATTTTGTTTCTTCAGCAACTTGCAAGAGGTGCACAGATATATTATGTATGTTTATTCAAATGTTCCTGAAAAAGCTGGTTTTGGCGGCAATAGTTCATGGTAAAGAGAGAACATGTTTCAGGTTTGTTCGAATAGCTTGATACTACAATTGAGAACTGATTATCTCAATGAGACAGGCTACATTGTGGATAAGCAAATGGTGCAAATAATTAGCACAACTCAATTTGCCTACAGAGCTAAGCAAACTGTTGCATCAGAAGTAATATTCTATGGCTAGAAACGCTGATGTAGTAAGAATTTAAAAAAGTTGAGAAGAAATGCATTACAAATGGAGTTGTTTTTAAATGTTGTGTAGCTGACTGATGGAGATCGCTCTGAGGCATTCAATGGCTGGGTGTGGATGTAAGAAGGAGGTTTTGTGTGTGTTATTTCTATTAACAGCTTATTTTTTTGGTGGGGAAAAACTGTAAATATCTTTCCTAAAATTCACAGTTATAGATGCTGATAGTGTGGCTAACCTATCAACTCTGAGTCGCTAGTCCCACCCTCGTGTTCAGCTTTAGCCCTCTGCTGAGGAATGATCCAGTTAAGATTGCCAACTGCATGCATTGATTTTATGTAATGCCCTCATTCTATGTATCTGTACTATTTAATCATCAATGCTCTACAACCTGAGAAAGAATTAAAAATTGTAATCTTTGAATAGCAAGCAAGATGACCGACTGGGGTTCAATTCCTGGGCAGTATGAAACCTTAGGCAAGTTACCTTACTCCACATGTCTGTTTTCCTAGCAGTAAGTAGGAACCCAATTGTTAGTCGATTGGCAGATTGCTTAGGGTAATAATCCCTCCAAAATAAATAATAATTGGGTCACTCAATCTATGACTGTTTGTGGTACATTACTATGCGCTTTGCCTACAAAATATACAGTCCATTCACTTTACAGTATATCCTGTGAAGCGCTTTTTTATATATAGTATACATACATACACACATTAAAGGGTCTTTCCATTCTAACATTTACTTTTTTCCACATAGGCAGTAACAGACGTACAGTACAATCCAATCTGGCTGCTTCTAAAGTTTGCTTCTAACCTTAATGACTAATTGGAATTGATGAATGATTTATCCTGCACCGTTAAGTTTTACCTGACTCTTCTGATGCCCTTATTTTATCTTCTTACAGAATCACGATGAAACATGGAGGAATTATTTTTCAGACATTGACCACTTTCCGAATGCAGTCTATACACATTGCTACGACTCCTCTGGAACAAAACTCTTCGTTGCGGGGGGTCCGTTGCCATCAGGTCTTCATGGAAATTACGCAGGCCTGTGGAGCTAGTAATCCCCATGCCATGTACTGTATTTCCGGATCCTTCGCATTTTATCTCCTTGGTTTTCACACTCTGTGTAAATCCTTTCTTTCTGTGTTTTAGATATTGTGTGAAATACACAATCCTTTTTCTGTTTAAGCTGTATGACTGTCATTTACCTTTCATTTTTGCATCATTGTTCTTCGGTCTGTTTTCTTTTCACTTCTTGACATAAGTTTCTTACTGAAAATGTATGTAGGTTGAAACAGGTACACTACTGATAGTGAGATAGGATCCTTTAATTATTGCGTGGCCACTACCAGATTTTCTGTGAAAGTTTGGAGGGGTTCAATGTGTGTAAAGGTACTTTTGTGTCAATTAAATACAGAAAACTAAATAATTGAGTCTGTGCAGGAGTGATGCATTACCTTCATATATATTTAAATACGTTGGTGTTTTTAGTTCATGTTTCTAGTAGATTTGTAATTCTACTTGTACTGAAGTGTTGAATGTTTTAAAAAATATAGGCCTAATGATGCCCAAAGAAATTCCTAAATTATTAATAAAGCTGTATGAATGGACACTGTACATTTTTAAATTATAACTTCAAGATGTTAAGCACAAGTTAATGCTGGAGATTCAGTTTTGCCCTTGGCAGAAGAGTGAAATTCCTGTGTTTTTGGGAATCGAGTTTTAAATAGATAACTTTAAATCAGTATCGCAAAAAAAATCCTTGTTTATTAGACCTAGCCACTCTAGATAGCCATGTACTTTACAGTCTATTCTGTGAAGCGCTTTGGGACGTCCTCCCGACGTGAAAAGCGCTATATCAAATGCAAGGATTATTATTATTATTATTATTATTACTTGTTCACGAGCACTCCTGTTAAATGAGCATTAATTCAAATGGCACATTTTGCACTGACTTATTTCCCGTATGATCTACCTTTTTGAATTGAAGTGTTTGGTTATAAAGAACAATTTTGATTGCTGCAGGGTATTCCAGTTAAACTTCTGCTGTACTGTTACTATGCTATGCTTTGATTTCTGCCTGACATTGGAGATGAGGGAATTGTTCCCGAGTCATTATTTGATGGATGTTATATTGTAAAACTTGGTGCATAATCAGGCTTTATAGTAAGGGTTTTAAAATTGAAGTATTTTTGGAGTGTTGACTTAGGTAAATAATAATCCGTGATCAAACTTTTTTTTAAAAACAAAAACAACTTAATTGCACTCTCCTCGGTCTGTCCACTTCTCTTTTCTCCGCCCAAGTCCTATTATGCTTCTGGAGCAGCTTCTATGCCAATATAACAATCAGAATTTACCCCCTTTTTTGTATGTATACATGGAGTGCTGAAGGCTACAGTGCAGAAGTGAGATTCAGATTGTGCTGGAAGTTTTGCTATTCTCTGAACCTTTGCACAAAACTGTCTGTTATCCTATGTATAATGAAGCACTGATATGATTCAGCTCAACAACAATTAAGTTCAGTGCTAACACTGTAGATGGGATATCTGCACACTTTCACTGTTTGTTCAAGGAATTCTTAAGAGTAACTCACACACCAATAAACTGGATGTTCACACTTTGGGATTCAGCATTAAAGAATCAGTTTAGAACAAAGAGGAACATAACTATATAAGAGAGAAAATATGGATGGAACATTTATCAATTCGACAGGCTTCCAGTGCTTCATTAACTGGACTTAAGACCAATAGCTCTCATTAAGAACAGCAAGTCTGTCTTCAATCAATGATCCCAATACTCTTTATTTCTTATGTGTATCTCTTTATTTGATCTCTCCTACTTTAGCTAATCTCTTCTGACCTATGAGAAAATAAACCAAAAGTAGTCACTATTTTTATCAGATACTTTTAAAACCATTGTGTATTTTATCACGCTACAGGGCCATGAATCTTAATATGTTTTATCTGTGTGGGTAATTAGTCTTGGAAATGATTACTATTTATGCAATGGTGCTTTACAAATATTGTATCTTATTTTGACACCACTAATTAAGAATGCAAGTATCTGATTCCTTTTTAAGAGAGAATTGCTTCCACAGCCCTGTGGTGCTGATGAACACCCGATGAAATGGTGATGTAATGAAGACCCTAAATACCATTGGAACAGATTTTGTTTGAAGAACAAACATCTTAAGAAATGCTCATGAAGGGGCAGGAATTCAGATTTTTCTTTTAAGAATTAGCTTGTTATATAGGCAGGACTGGAGGAGGTAAAGGGAGACAGACAAGGTGTGGATCCTGATGTTCAGAGCTTTGTAACCATGGTTTTCTGGGGCTCGCAGGGAAATCTGGTAGCCGTGTTGTAAGTGTACTATGCGTTGATTTTAAATTAACTCACATATGTAAATGATGGGCTGCTTATCATGGCACATGGCCAAATATAAAATATTTGACTTGGAAACATGACTGTCGTGCCCACAGCCAGTAATAAAAGTTAATTTAGAGAATTGAGCCCAGTCAGACATGAAATGAAAACTTAGTCAAGTAGATCTACAGTTTAAAGTTTTAACTTGGTGCATTTTTAGGATGATTTTCATTTTTAAAATAATTCTGAAGGTATTAATTTTATTATGAAGGTATATTTGCATATATTTTGTAGTTTTTAATGCGACAAAAGTAACACTTTATATTTTTAAACTGAAAGGCCTAAAATTCTTTAATGAATATTTTTGTAAACCGTTCCTTAGAGTAGACTTGTTTCTTTGAATTATCCTTGTTCTACATATCGCTTAAATTTGTTCAGCAAATCAAAACTGAGTCTTGGGGTATATTCTCCCATGCATTCGTCAATCCAGACTTCCAGTGGACCAAGTACATTTGGAATTCTTGTGCCTTTAGCATCTGGCATTGTGTGTTAATCAACCCATTGCTTATTGGTGGAATATATTCAGAAAAACCAAGTTGCTGAGGCATGGGTATCTGACAACCACAACACAAGTAATAAACTACTTAGTTTGTCTGATTCTCAGATTATAGTAAAACAATTGCATCTTCTATCGTTGTCAGGATAGTCTTTTCAGAAATGTGAATGGCCCACAGTTCGTGAGCACCACAAATGGAAGTTAGGATCTTTTGCACCATTGAGAATATTTGGAACTCCCTGCCAAACCCTTCTGTCCACGAACATTGCTAAATGTTGATCATAGAAAGTGTTCATTTTTGACAATGGGACATACTTGTGGAATATCCTGTGAACCTGTAAATTATCGATCACGCACAGAGAAATGTAGATTTTGGATGATTTCTGGAACTATTCAAAATTAAGAACCATACTGAAATTTGGGAACTACTTGTATTTAGAAATGCACAAATTTTCATTGTGAAATTTTGCATGTTGGTATTTTAATTGCAATGACACTATTCCAGCAAGCTAAGGAGGAATGTCTGGTGATTGCATTCCTTGGGTACTTTCTTTATGGAGGGCTCCAAGTTGTTAGGCCACCTAGCTCCAGTGTGCTGTAATATCTATAAATTTCAACTTGCAGAAAAGGGGAGGAAGGCTTTTGTTGCTGCCTGATAGAATTTATAGAGAATACATTTGGAAATTCCCCTCAATGTCATCCTTCCTGTCCTCTGAAATCAAGAGCTTATCCTGTATAAGATCACACATCCACCATCATTTAGCACAGTGCTTGGATATACTGAGCAGCCTTAATAGTCTTTCTTATTACACATTAGCTTTATTGCTTTCCACCCCTTGATTTAATAATACATTTTGGTGAATGTCCAATTAGTAAATTGTTGCAGGACCTGGTGTAAACGTTGGTTAGTTGATCGAAGTTGAGATCTAAAATCATTACTTGACACACTTTTCGACTTGAAGATGTTAACTATTCAACACTTTTCAACTATTCTTGCTTTTTAAAATACGTTTGCCTTGCTTGTTTGTTTTCTGAATTTTTCTCCATTTTAAAAATTGGATGGCATTTTTGCTTTAAAAAGGAAAATTGGGAAAAATCCACTGGGCCTGAACATGGCTTAGTTCATTCCCCAGAGTCCTCCCAAGTATGATATTGATTGTCAAACCGATCCAAGAACTGACTGCATCTTCAATGCTTCTTTTTGTGCCTCTAACCCCCTCCCCACCACTTTCTCAAACATTGCATGGTCTCTCTGATTTGCAATTCCATTTGCTCAGATTGTTAGCTGAGGCTCATTATGCCTTTAAAAGAAGTATCTTAACTAGTCCCACTCCCCTGCTCTGAGCTTTGCAATTTTTTTCTTTTCAAGTAAATATCCAATTCCTGTTTGAAAGTTATTATATATCCAATTCCCTTTGGAGAGTTAGCCGGAAAAATAATTTATTAAACATTCCATAATGAGAAGTATATGATTTTCCTGGGAAATAAATACCTTATAAGTGAAAGTAGCTATAGCAATACAGATCATTTAATGTCCAAAACAACTGCCACTAGGTTTAGACTAAAGGCATTTATTTTCAATAAAACCTCAAGGAAATTCAACCAAACTGTTGGTGGTAACGGATTCTTTTCCATTTAATATTTAGTTAATTTGCTTATAAAATGAGAGTAAATAATAGAGAGGTTTACGATCTTGGATCACAATCAGATTTTCCACACAGATGTGTTCATGAAGGGTTAAGCAATGTATGTCCAAACATTCAGAATTTTTATCCAACTTGATAGAAACAACAATGGATCAGACAGACAGAACTACTGATTTTCTGCAATGTCTTGCCAGGCATTTTTAGATTTGCCATTCAAGTGAGCTGGCAGAAGAAAGCTTTGAACTTAAAATAATCCTTACAAATATAACGCCAAATCATTCTGTCTCACACTAAGTAAAACCATCATTCATCAAATAACCCACACTAAATAGTGTTTTGCCAAAAGAGAATCAGATGTGAATCTAGGCAATTGAGTAATAATTAAACTATTTCCTATACCAGTGTAGTTTAGAACTCGAAGATGAACATGAACTAACCAAAAAACCACTCTAGTCCCAACTCGTTTGGATGTAATATTTTTGTTTAACTCTAAAGAAACAGCACGTAAGACATCACGGTGCATACCGTTTATGAATTACGCAATACAAATCTTGTTTTCCTCAGCCTATTGGTGACAGTAATTTTGGAAAAACATGCAGAGTATACACTGACTATGTATGTAATTTCTTGGCGGTTATCAAATGTTGAAAATGCAGTGATGATGGCTTTAATACATGATATAACTGCATCCGTGACATTTAGTGCAGAGATGTGTGGCGTCTATTTAAGTTTTCAGAGGCTGCCACCCTTTTAAAAGCAACCAGTTCCTGTCCAACATGCTCTCAATTGATATCATTGCAAGAATTTAGCTTACTCGCAATTTCAACCGCATCCTCAATTAGATTACTAGCTGGCCCTTCT